CTATGCTACGTGGGCCCAAGGAACGCCCCTCGTCGCACCTGCTCGATCGTTTATCAGCGGAGTGAGAGAATTCCAATCGCAAATGTGAACCGTATTACGCATTTATTTTAACGGTTTCCAGGTCCCAACACAAATTGACACTGCCAACTCTTCGTTAGAAGAACGAACTTGAAAAAAATGTACGAATGGGATCATTCACGATCAGGCCTCTAGTCTCAACAAGGATATGCGGGAGTTTCCAGCGAACCAAATGAAAAAGGAGTACAATGTTTTCCCCGAAATACAGTCAATGACTTTAAATCCGTGTAGAGTGTGTTTCACAATGAACCAGTCCTTTTTGTTTCATTGCCAGGAAATATTTACAGACTTTTCAAAGAACAAGCATGAGGTTTCATCAGATGTTTCGATAAAAATAAAATCGGCGCATATGATAAATGTTGACACGAAAAAATCTGAACCAGTATTTATAGGATCAGCGTTTGCGGGAAATGCTTTCTTTTATAAGTACAGAAAATTCCCCTCGCTCTTCCAGGACCAGGAAAGCCTATAGAAAAAGCGAAAACATTTTTCTTACTTTCTAAATTTCACGGACTTTCAGCTGATATTTCGACTCCTACTGGAGAAAACGAGGCACATTAAAGTTTCTTGGGTGAAGATAGACCTGGACGAATTCACAAAACCGATAATTTCTTAGAACGAATGCGTAGTTGCATGACCCATCAATCAAGGCGAATCGATCGTTATACATTGTATCTTTAGTCTATTTCCATATTCGCACTACTGAGCGTTGAAAGTTAAAGTTCCCGAAATATCGTTCGCATTTTTTCCTCCCAGAATAACTATCGAAATAACTCGACGTGCGAAATCATCTCGCCACGTTATGCCAAGTTTTCAAGGCCCAAATTCGGAGGGGCTGCGCACTCAACCCGGAACCCGGAAATGAAAGGACGCGTCATCTGACCAACAATCAAAAACACAAACAACAATATTAACCCAACCAAAAAACAAAAAAGAAGAGAAAAACATCGACAGCCACTCTTTCAAAATGCACTCATGCGTCGGGGGGTACGCGGCAGGTGGCAGGGTCATTCGACACCGCGCCGATGATCCAGAAACGCTAATGACGGCGGATGCCCCGTTGGCAGCACCCCAGGAGTTAAAAAGGAAGTTCCCGAGACGGGCCCAATCGGCTGACGCGTGAATCGCGTTCGACCTCGCATCCGTCACCGTCACCAGCGTTCACCGACTGAGGTGACAAATCGTCTCCGGTTTCCCCCACACTGTCTCCCAAGAAACTCGTCGGTCTTTGAGACGGCGAGGAATGAGAAAAAAAATTTTCAAAACGCTCGCTAATCACTCTCGAGTGACACACGAAACATCTTTTCATCAAAATGGATTTTTTTTCCTCTATAGTGAATGATGGAATAAACCGTTGAAATTCCAAGTCTCCCGGAAAATACGATTCATCCATAAAATTATACCAATTCGTATGAATAAAAATACAGGAAGGATCCCCACCACTTCCAAGAAACTGGACGCTCCTTCATACGGTGGGGAATGATACAATTTTGCATAACCTTTTCTTGACAAAAGAAACATTTTTCATTGAGGAGGGATTTTATATTTATTGACAGAGGGTCGGTAAAATACAGTGCCTTCCCAAAAACGTGACATATCCATTAAGTAATACTAAAAAATGAGAACCAATGACCAGAAATTCTTCGTAGTTCAAATTGACTCAACTGTCATCCTTAGGAACTCACTAAAGAAGGATTCTAGCTGTCTCTTAAAAATCGCTCGGTTGGTAAAAGTGTCGAAGGAAAATTTTGAGCATGATACTTTGTCCTATACTGTACTGTACATCCATTCGAGAAACACGTTGTCCGATTACACCACAGGAAGCGTTCATCGAAACCTTAGGCCTCTTCAGAAGAATCGCATGATACCTTGCACCACGAGACGAACAAAATAATTCGTGCTAAACATTCGGAACAACAGACACAAGGAAGCATACCCTGAAATATGACAAAGAACTCAGAACTGATAAAATGAGAAAAGAAGAGCCTTCGAAATGACAGCACACGCCTGCACGAAAACAACCTCAGCGATCTTCCACGTACAGTACTTCCTAGAAAAACGTGGCGCTAAAAACCTCTCACGGCAGCGAAATCCATTCATCAATCCTCCTGAAAAAGATCGACCACAGATACGCACCAACTCCTTCGTAAAGCAGACTAGAGTTGAGAACTCGACAGGCTAAATCAAGTCGACTTCCTCGCAAATGAATAGACATGAGATGCGAAAAAAATATGACTACACCGGAAATTCTGCGCGTTGTTTGGGAAGAGCACATTTGTGAAATTGGATACGGCTCAGCCAAAGAAACATCATTGCTTTTCTGTCTTCACAAAAGGAAGCAACGATTATCGAAACGAAGTCAGTACGACACAAAGTAGCTACGGAAGTGGTTTTTAAGAATGAGCAGTTAACGGCCAAGAAAAAAGATCGATTACCGTACAAGAATTTCTACATGAATCCGCGTGCCATGAAGACTTCAAATAATTTCTGATTTTTGCATTTCACTCGGCGAAAAGACTAAATCTTGTCTCTCGAAATGCTCCAGTTCATGATAATTTTCACCAGGAAAATTTCCCAGCGATGAACTTCATGAAGCACGAAATCTTGTACGGGGTGAAGGACACGACAAAAAACGACGACCTGACAATAATCGTGACAACCGCAACGAATTCCTCGACAACAGAAAGTTGGGAAAATTTTTCGTCGGCATTTTTGATGTGGTATTTCGTGAGTTTCCCGGGCTACGTTGTAAAGTTTTATAAAATCTTCAAAAACTTACAAAACGATCTAGATATGAAGGGTCCGAACGATTACAGTATAGCGATAACGAGACAATGCAAATGTGACCGCGGCTGAGAATGACCCAGACGAAAAGGGAGCAGTGTATCGAATTAGAATCTATTTTGTGCATGAAGTTTTGTTATTTTTGAAGCCATCATTGGTTTTCCAAGGTACTATGCTACGTTCATGGTCAAGGAATTACCGCGAAGTATATTCAAAAATTGCCTTTTCACAAAAATAATCTCTTGTACACTGTACTGTATTTTGACTTTGTTGTTCGAAACTGGCGTAATACTCTTTCTAAATAGAGCATCTCTGACGTGATATATTAATTTCAAACTACGTCTAAAATCGTTCAAAAATATAACAGAAGTTGCGCGAACGTAAGAAGTGTAAGCATTAAAAAACGTGTCAAAAGTGTTCATCTCCATGCTTTTATCCTCATCGCTTTTCGTCTAGGAATTTTCTTTCATCGTCGCTTTTGATTTTTGCGCGGTTCATTCGTCCCTCTACAGACGATTTGATTTACTAAAGAAAAAATAAAAACATCGTCTATGACCTATTCAATGGTTTTCTGAGCTTAAAAAAAAAAAAAACTATCGTTAATTTGCACTGAGCTTTTAACAACGCGTTCGACTTAAGGAATTTTCATCGCTTGCACCGACGCCAGAACGAACGAACCAGTCTGCTAATCGTAGAAGTATGAAGTTTCTTATATCGAAGAATGATTTTTAAAAATCCGACTCTTTTTTGTTTCCAGAATACTGTTGCCAAACAAGTTCGACGTGAATTAAAAAAAAAAATTTTGGGTGCCTGCTTATGGCCGGTGCAATTAAATGAAGAAAAACGAATTTGCACACTCAACGGTCCGGAGAAAACGCAGAAACATTTTCGTATCAACCCCCCCCCCCCTTCCTCGTGCGTACGCACACATACACACGAACAAGTGCTTCGTTTCTCAATGGTCCATTCAAAATTGCAAGCTCGACCCGAAAAGACGAGGAAGCATTCGGGAAAAAGGCTCGCAGTTCCAGACACGCAGAAATTTCTTTGGATGCATTCCAACTCCCCGTTTCGGGTGCCGGAGAAAATCCCGCAGGAAAAAAATCCCATGACTTGAAAAACTCGCGGGGTACGAAAATTCCACAGGATACGGAATTTAAAAATGAAGATATGAACAGGTAACCAACCTAAAAACTCCAGAATTCTCAAAAGCTTCTGTTTCCACACCTTTAAAATTTCCCAAGATTGAATTCGTCCAGCGGGATATAATTTCACGCGGAACTCCGTCGGACATTTCTCTTGAACGTTTATGAATGTTCCTGGGGGTTCATTTGACTTTTTGGGGATTACAGTTCTAAAGAGCATGTTAACGGTGATTCTCTGCATATAAACACAACTACATACAGTACTAAATACTTGTCAATAATCAATTTGCACAGTTCCCATCGTGCCTCCGGGGATACAGAGCGGAAGATATTTTGAAACTTTCTATTGGTACAAGTTCATTGATTCAATATTCGTCCGACGAAGACAAATTTTGATATGCGAAGCTCCTTCGCAGCAAATGAATTCACCCAGCGGGATTTTCGAGACACGGCATTTTTTCACGGAGCCCATGTTTCATGAGAGCAAAAATTTCCGCGAGCGCGGAGGAGCCGGAATATCGGCAAGCAAGCAGAACTATTTACTTCCTGACCACTGAGAAGAAAAGAATAGAGTCCCTCGTTATAACAACGAGCTTCTCTTCGCGAAAACAATGCCTCGACGTGGCCAAACGACCCGTCGAAAAACGCGTCGGAAAAATTAGTGCTCTCATCCGGGTCACTAAGGAAATTCAACCTCCACACTAGAAGGTTTTAGCTGCTCCACTGCTCGCGCTCTTGTGTTTTCAACGACAGCCAAAAAATACTTGAACAAACTTCAACGCGGGCATTAAAAATATACCCTTCAACCCAAACTTAGTCTTCAAAATGACCCGTTACGGGATCTGACGTGTTCGCGCTTCGGGTTGCTATTGCTGAGTCAGGAACTCAGAACTCATACTTCGTGGAGTACGTGGAATTTTCTCGAAAGCCGGACAATAAATTATTTTAGCTTTTACAAAAGGAAAATTCCAGGAAACCGGTTAAAAAGAATTACTAACCTTTGCTGTGGTTGCTGGTGTCCCTGAGAACTGTGCACTCTTCGATCTGCCCAAATTGGCTGAACATTGTCCGGACGTCATTTTCGCTAGCCTTTTTGCTCAGCATCCCGACGAACAGCTTCCGTTCTGAAAGAATCGACCAAACACGTCAACGAAAGTGTCCACATTCAACAATGTAACCTTCTGTGGGCCATTCATCGCGATGCGGAAGTACCGCGACCAGATATAGTCGATGACCCCTGAACGCAAGTACTTCCGTTCCAGGGCGGGAAAATCGATCATTTATTCCCAATTCCCGCCATTGATTAGCAATCCCGAAAAATAAAAATCTCGTCAAAAGCAATTATATCGTGGAGTAGGGTATTGAAGCAATAAAAATACTAGCGTTCGTAAGACACATTTGCTTCCGAAATTCGACTCCCACCTCAATGGAAGATTTGGTACTCGGCCTGAAACCCAGGACAAGGTTCGTGTCACCAGTTTGTCCCCACAAAACCCACATGAAACGTGAAAACCATTTCGTACTTGAAAACGAACAAAATGCTATTTTTTTTCTTGCGAAGTATTTCAAGCTCCTTCAACCACTTCTACAACGGGTAGTATCCATCGCGGCTTCGAATTTTCAACTTGAAATCGATGATATGAATAATTTGATATAAATATACAGTACCGTAGTCAATAAATTTAGGAAAATATGAGAGCATGCGCTGTCACTTTCAACTTATTTTTTTGGATAACAGGGCTAAAAGAAGATTGAACAATCTCCGGATACCACAAAATGAGGTTTCGCTCCCGAAAAACACTGCTGTCCAAACGCTATCAAAGTGGATTTTCAAGTTGAATGGATATTTTACGCAAGGGAAATACAGTACCGTATCAAAATACAATCCATAAGAAAACGTACCTTGCATTACTGGAATAATGCGTCCCATTGATGTACAATAATTAATAATATGCGGGGCAAAATTACCTGAAGTTGAAAACACCTAAATGACCTTCCTGTTCTGTGGTCGTCCCATCTTTTTCGGTGGGTATCGCGCTGAAATACAAGTCGGTAGTCGAACCACTGATTTTAACGCCTCTTTTTGGGATACGGGGGTACATTACAAGAAGTAACTTCAATATGACACGGCAAAATACTTCTCAAATCAATTAAATTGCTGGGAAAATTTGTTTCGACTCATGAATCATGAATTGAATCCCTATATATCCATGCGTCGATTCATGAATCGATAAATGTATAGAGTCGTATGTGAAAGCATGCTGACCGCAAAAACAATACTGTAAATAAAATTGCTGAAAAAATCATTCGAGAAAAAAAAAATTGCTTTTAAGTAGCTTCAACCCTCCAAAAACGGCAAAAAAATTCTAGCAACATCGGGTTCTTTCCTGTTCCAACACTGGAACTGAAGAAATCAGAATGGCGATAAGCCATGTTGTCGGGTATATGTATGCATCATCTCGATAAGAACTGGATATTGGCAACTGGTTGTTTGAACTTGCTTTTTTGGAGAGTTGTTCGTAGCATATTGGTTCTTTAACTTGAGAAGCGTCATCAAAATTCCTTGCTTTGCAGAAATCGACCTACTGTACCGTAAATTTCAGTCATAGAAGTTCCCACATACAGTGTTACAAATATCATGTCATTATTTGCGTTTTCAGGATCGGAAATTATTTTATTTAAAACTAATAACTTCAAAAACGGGTATCGTTGTAAAAAAAATTTTATATGGAGTCTACGTGTGTATATTGAAACGCTGAAGAAGGGAATATATTAGAGTAGAAGTCGGTCAACCAATATATTCCGGACTAACAGTAACAGTTACTCGGATCCGTGGATTGACATTTGCCAGCATTGATAATCTCAGAGTGATTACAAAATTTTGAAAGCGAGGGAAAGTGTGTGAAACATTTGCAATTCTGGTCAATAAAGAAACGTCGAGTCATCTTGTCAACGCAAAAACCATTTTAGCATCACCCTCGAACACAAGTTCAACCCATAACACGGGAGGGGAAAAACTCTTCATCAATTGATGAAGTGATATCGATAGGACTTGGGATAATCAAGATTCCAGCCACAGAATTAAAAATTAAGAGTCATTGGCTGCGGAAAAACTCACTGCAATGAGCGTGGCTCGCGTCGGACGACACGGAAGCATACGGATGATAATGAATCCGATCGCCGGTGGCAGCCATCACGAGAGCCGAGCGATTCGGATACATCGTTGGGCAACTCAGATAATCATACACACCCACGACTTGTCCCGACTTGATCTTCGACATCGCGACTTCAACACCTTTGTCCGCACTTCCGCCACAATTAGGTTCTCAACGCCGGAACAAAGCACTCACATGCCACAGTGGTTTTTTCTGCCGAAGCCCAGAGCGCATACAACGCGAGTGTCAAGTAACATCGACAGCATAGTCGGGATTCTCCTACACAAGCCGCGGGATTCATTCGTATGTATGCGGCGGGGGGAGAAAAACCCCCGCAAGAGCCAGTGACCCGACAGCACAGCTAACCCAGTGCGACTGAAGCTACTCAAACAACGAGAAAAACCCGGAATGCGCGGAGAGAAGAAAAAGTTTGGAAAAACTAAGGCCGGCACAAAGAACCTAGGAAAACCGCCCCACGGCACGGTTAGTGATCATTGGGTTCCTTTTCGTGATCGCCTCTCTGCGACGTTAGAAGGGGCTCTTTTGTCTTCGTGCAGCGCCAAAAGGAAGCGGCCGAAAGTAATCATATAGAAGAAAAGATCAGCTTATCTGACACTGGTAGCTGTCATGTACGCTTGGATTCCAGAGCCTTCGACTTCGTTGAAAAAAAAATTATTACAAGAATGCGCCAGAGGTTTGATTTTCATTGTCAACCATTACACGCCTGACTTTCAGAAAAAAAGGACTCCAATAGCACGGGGAACAAACAAAATATCATGTGACAAACATGGCTGGCTGCACAACACTGTGTTTCTCAATCGATGTTTCTAAAACCCGGACATTCCACATGCTCCAAGCCTCCCCAAAATAAAAAAAGAACATGAAACTAGTATGAGATGCAATTATGAGAAGAGAAGGACAACAAAGTTGTTGGCACGAGAAAATTGGCAAGGACTACCACGTTTTCAACCCGAACTGTTCCAGCTAACCATCATAAAGCTAAAGATGCTTGGAATGTATCATGTAGAGTTTAGACTACAATATAATGTAAATTGCGTTTGACTAGCATTCTGAATGAACCCTCGCTCAACACAATCAACATTTCCATCTTATTCAGGGACTCTGAGTTATGGCACATATTCAGGGTGCGGTCACGTCCCGTGATAGTACCAAAAATGTACCACCCATCATCACAGAACTTCCCTGATTAACGACTGCAAAAACTTGCTGGATATCTCAACTTCTGAACTTCTTTATCGTTCGATACCCATAAAACAGGCCAGCTATTCTACATAAATGACACTACGTGGCGACTACAGACTTTATCTAACCTGCTCGGATCCATGCATGATGTGAAACTATATGTAAACGGAAAAATCAGAGGAACCCGATTAAGATGCATAAAATTTAAATTACTTTGAAATAAAATATTTTACTCGTTCCAGTTGGTTCTGTTGGACATAACACGTTTGATCCACTCAATGCAATCTGCCACAAAAATAGCAAGGGTATTAAAGAGCAAGAAAAACAAGACTTGCTGAAGCCTAATACTATTCTGTAAAAATAAATGAAATCCACAACAAAAAACGTAACTTCTTGCCAGTATGATGAAACTTTGGTCAACTGAAGTGTTCCATGATGAAATGCGTTACTTTTTCCAAGGATTCTCGTAGCACTGGAAAGTTCCAAGGCGTGACGACGGAAAAATGTAGCAAATTTTGAAAAATTCCCGAATTTTTAAAAAATTACGTAATCTAATTCTTGCATATTTGTTCATGAACCCCCTTTGTCTTACTTGCTTGAAAAAAGTTCCACTTTCTACGCAAAATGCGAAGTTTGGGAATACCTGGGGCATTCTGAGCACAAAAGAAGTTATTCACATCAAATTCAACAATTCATCGCGTTTCAGTTATATAACTACCCAAACAAAGGCTGATCAATGCTTGGCATTTTTAATCGGTCAACTTCTCAGAATTCGCCTCAAATTTCCCACAGCAAAATGCAACACACTCGCGCGCGAACTGTTACTGAATGCCAAAAAATGCTCGATTCCTCGCGAGACCTTGACGACAATTTTTTTTTACAAGGAAACTAGGAACGGGTGAGATACACGTGGCACTGGTTTGTAAAGGAAAACCAAAGATTCCAAGCTATTCTTCTTCGTGTCTAAGCATCTATACGTGGAAAAATACCCCCTATCTCTAAATTGCCATGTGGATTCTGCAGAACTCCCATTATATCTGACTCGATCGACCTCCACAGTTTGTTGAGACACGTTCGCTGAGAATGTGCAAATTTCCGGTTTAATTCGCAAAGAAAAATAAAGCTACAAGTTCAGCGACTTGTTTCTCTCGAAAACTGGTTTTAAGAAGAAAGCCTTGATGGGATTTAAGAACTTAGACTATCCAGGCTTAGATACTGTAAATCATGCTCCAATGCGTGTTTAGGGAAAGTTACCCAATCGCCTTGTACACCCTGAAAGTTCGACAATAGCCGCTGTATTTTCCTTTGAGCAACTTATCTGCGGGCTAAGAGACAACGATTTCCCAGAATTCCGTGATTTCACGTCCGGTCATCGAGGTAAAAAAAATTAAAGTAATGAGGTTACGTGAGAAGATATGTTCAACTTATTAAAATTATATAAAGTCTCTTGTACATGACATAAAGTGAAGGGCTCTTTGCCGTTGGCTGGTAATCCGGCTTATTAGGCTAAAGATGCGTTTTTTGAAGAACATTTTTCCAAAACTTTGGCATGGAATTCTACCAAATCCTGCGTGACGAACAAAAGGATTTCTTGGGATCCTTCCTCGCATTGGTGCGTCATCAGTTGTTTTTATTAAAATGTATTCTCAAAAAAAAAAAAAAAAGAAGTCCCCAAGACGCCAATCATGAGTCACAGGCAATAAACGCGGGTCTCCCGAAGCCTGTCGAGCGATTCTCGCGAAAACACATTTAATCTGCCTTCCGCACATTCGGAACGCAACATCGCTCCTATTCAAAACGAAATCACCTGATGCACGGAAGAGGAAGGAGACTGGAAAATATGTCACACGCGTCTTTCCTCGATCATCCTCAGGGAGCAAATGTCACTTTCCGCAGCTGGAACGCGGCTTCGATGAGGGGATAAAAAAAAAGGCTCAGATTCTTCTCCGGCAATAATGAATGAGCAGGAGACATCAAACGACGTCCGCCCCGTCCGGGAAAGTTCGGCGAGAAACTCCGTCCCGGTAGTGCAGATATATAGGCTTCAGGGAGAATAAAAACGTCAGGACTACGTGTGACGAGGAGTGAGAGGGGCAGAGGAACGTTCCTCACTCACTGCGCAGCGTTTTTTCGCCGTGAGGAGGACGGGAATATCGACTAGACTTGAAGAAAGATTTTTCGGAGAATACCCGCAAATCCAAGTGTCGGTAATCGTCACATGAAACGGGAATAAGACAGAACAACAATACGGAAAACAATTTGGATATCGGGATCCGTCTTTCGACTATTTTATAGCAACAATACAGTATTGTTGCTGTAGAGAACAAATGGTCGATAACGAGGGAACACCTAAGAATGACCGGAATCAATAATTACGGATTTTCCCCATTTTGAATCATCTTTGTCATATTAACCCCTCATTTTAGAAATAGTTCCACATACATTCCGTCTAATAAATACTGTATAATTCTTCTTTGAAAAATCAAATTCATTCGCGCACCAACTCATTGCAAGACCATCAGTACTAAAAAATAGGCGACACTTTCCGTTTTATTTTTAATCTGGATGAATGGTTAAGAAGAAGACAAGTGAATTAAAAAAGCGACACTGACGACCTATGGCGATCGGAAGTGCCGTTGAGTAAACTACTTACCGTTTCAAAACTTACAGAACATTCTCAGCAATACAAAGATCTTTGCAGATGGATCCCCCAAAATATTGTTTCTAGTCTTGCGAGACTTCCTATTAGTGATAAGACGTTGTATTAAAACACTGTTCCATACTTGTCAAACCTCCAACACGGTGATGGGAAAGTCCATCTGAAATATTTCTTGAACATAGCAAGCACATAGAGAGGATGTAACTTGACTGAAAGCCTAAAACATGTTTCACGTCAAAAACGAAATGTAATACAGCTAGACTCTCACCACAGCAATCTTGTTTACAACGCTTTTCCCCTTATAAAGCATTTTTTGTTTTGCTTTTTGGTCGAATAGGATTCCCTCGCCGCGTTAAAGGGGTTCTCTACAGGGAAATATCCTTTTGAACCATTTCTTCTGGTCCCTTTCTTTTTTTGTTGTACGCAGACATTTGAGCATGCGGTTTACAATGCAGATACTACATGAGTCTCTCTCGACGAATTTTTTTCATGATCCTCTAATTTTGCTGTAGAGTCCATCTGACATTTACTTTCAAAACCGCTCTCCTACATTGCCAATTTCTAAGAACTTATCTTCATCCTCGCTCACTCGACATAATAGCGAATAAAGCTTAGTTTTGAACGGCATTAAATAAAATCATCGGGTTTGAGTTGGGTATCTTATCTTTCACATGCAAAATAATGAAATGATGGTGTTGATGATTCCCCGTTTGAAAAAAAAAAATTCGCGGAACGCAAAAAAAAATCGCGAATGTCCCACAAAATACGAGTCGACACCATGATCCACTGAGCGTCTCAGGAAAGGAAAAAAGAGAGGTTCTCTGTAAGTGCTGAAATATGCTCCTTCTCCCCACACTAATCTCTCCGCACTTTCTTCCTCATCACGGCTGCTAATGACCTGGTTTAGGGATAGCACCATGGCATAACTTTTTTCTACGCACTTCCTCTTCTAGCTTTAAAACTCTCATTGAGTCCGCCCTTCGGCCGAATATCGACCAGAAGAAAATTCGACGCGGATACGAGCTTCTGAGAACCTTCATCAAGCGCCGTTCTGGACGTTCTGCGCACATTTGGCAATGTTTACCAATAGATAGTTTCCAATAGCGAGTCAATGTTGATTTTGCCACTTCCGTCTACACCTGATTGACGCAGCTATTGTTCATTTTATTTGTACCGAACCCGGAAAACGAGCGCAAACATTGTCGAACACATCGCACGTGTATCATCCCAAAAACACATATCAACACTGTATTTTACTGTACTTTAGAAGATAATTACAGGAATGTTCCGTCAAACTATCAGCTAAAATCAAACTAAACAATTACAGCAGATATATTTAAATCAACCGCGCAGTCTAATCAAGTTCTTACTGCCCGGAGGAAAATAATCCGTGATTTTAACATTAATTTATTACTAAGTTATCCCATCCGGAAAACTTTTAAAATACGCAATGATTCGAAGTCAGGCCGTACCGTAGTATGAAACAAAATTTTAATTTTTTTCCTATTCGGCTTGCGCTTTTCTGCACAAAGTCATAAAAACCTATCGATAATCGATCGATCAACTTTATTCACCAAGCAAGACGCACACCGTAATGCTTTAGGTCTTGAATGCCTCGGTTGAATCATTTAAATGTAATAATGATTACAGAATACACGACGCATACTTTGCATGGAGTAAATACGCACGAAAACTCAACACGACGCGCTTCATGAGAAAAAAAAATTAAAAACGTTGGCTCGAAAGCAACACTCGACGCCAAACCCCGCACGTGTTGAGTGACAGCCACTAATGAAAGCAAACCAGATAAAATCCCTCCTCCTCGCATGTCATTCCGAAATCACAGCACCACCTGGGTCGGAAAACACACATACACACATACACCAGGCCTGGGTCTAGCTGAATGACCCCTTAAACCTGCTGCTGGATTTTTACTTTTGCTTAATTTGCAGGGGTCGGGTGATTGTTGCCGAGGTGCGAGGCAACATGTTGCACACAGAAGCGTAATTGTTCTAGAGAAACAGACAGCAGATGATCTATTTTCATGAATGAAGATTAAATAAAGGACACACACATTGTGTCAAAACGAAATTTTGTGCTGTATAAACGGACAATGTGCTTGCATATACTGTTCAGTAGAATATCCGCTAATTATCCGCAATCAGATTAAAATAAATTAACTGAACACAATTCGAACATCCGCACCACCTGAGTAGCATAGATCACTTACAAATTCAGCTTTGAATAAACAGTTGAATAAAAAAAAATCAGCCAGAAATTCTGAACCAGTGTTCCTCGAAGCATTTTGCCTCCACTACTCAGGGGCTCCACAGCCGATTTACGGGAATGAGAGCAAAAAAACACTAAAGAGTTAGATAGTGAGATGAATAGACAACAAAACCTGAATAAAGATTAAAATGGCCATTGCGCAAAAAAGACAGTTCTTATAAATGCAGCACAATTTCGAAACACCGGGCAGAGCTACAGAAATCCGCCATAACATGTGTCCTCAAATGGAACACATAATTACAAATTTACCCCGGGAAGAGGGTTGTGTGATATTATTTCCATATCATGTTTATTTCGCATGGCTTTTACATCCACTGTAAAGTAGTTTGCTTACACAGTCTAATTTGGAGGAATGACAAATTGATTGTCTTTCTCCTTGTACAAACTTGACTGTCGTGAACATTTGATGAATTACAGTACCTAGAAACAATTAAATAATGCAATTTAACCTCAGCCTTTCTTCTTGACTGCTGCAGTCTTTTCTTGAAAAAATGCAAGGAATTCAATGCAGTACGAGGTACAGTATTTGAAATTCTGCTTTACTCAGAGCTCGCAATTTAAATCTTCGTTTATGAATTCCAAATTAGTGTATAACGTATCCGTGGGATATACCTCAATTGATGAAAGTTATTTTCCTCTTCTCCGTTGCTTTGGTCCACGTAGTTGGATCAACTTATTGCCGAATACTTGATTTGAGCTGCAAGCTAAACTTATAGTCGAGAGAAAATAGGATTCATGAATCAATTTTTGAATTTTTCGGAGATTCAGTTTGCGAAAACGACAGGAGAAAAAATCAGCGATTTGTCTGAGAAAGGATTGCCAATTGACAACAAAAGATTACAAGAGTGATCCCCCTCAAAGCAACTGTGTTCTTCTGGCGTAGAGATTTCATCAGACGGAGGGGTCTACGTCTAGGGGGAAACACGTTTTTGTGGGAGGATGCAGTGGCTTCTCACAGCAACAGGTGACGCACGGGTCAACCCCAAGAGGTGGGTTTCGATCCCTTCGGGTTTTTCGTTCCGTTTCTAGTGCCGCACTTCCACTTGGTTCCCTTTCATCCAACATCATTACACGGGCTTTTCATATATTGATGGAAACTACACTCGAAAGAGTTCTAGAAAACGTGGATTACAGTTGAAAAATCTAGAAAAAAATTGAATTTGTACGTCTCTACTGCAGGAAAAAATTCGAGGTTCGTAGATAACGCTCAAGAGTATACTGTACAACCAAAAGAGGTAAAACAGTTTTTGTCAATCGAAGTCAGTCTGAATTATTTGAAAACTTTTTGCTATGGTCGTCATTCGTAGATTGTAAAAACTGATGAACATAATACGGCCAACTCACAACAAAAGGTCAGGAAACAACGACTGTCTTTACGGATAATAAAATTAAAATTATCTTGACGCCGCATCAGTTCTTGCTCCACAAAAATACTGAAACAGAGGCTAAAACATAAATTATAGCTTCGATTCATCTCGTGGATGATGCAAGCGTTTCCAATAAAATCACTGGGACGAAAACTCGGACACGAATCTTTTTGCGAATAGAAAATCATTTCGATAAACTTACTACAAGAAATAAAACCCATCTTGGAGTTGGAATTTAAGTCGGTCCCAGATATCTCGCTTCAATGTGACGAATGCCGCATCGTCATCTAGCTCTATTCACGATGCAGTTATAACCAAAGATAACCAACATGAAACCCAGCAGTTTCTCGACAGCAGCGGAAAAACCCCGGGTGCATCGAAAGAGAATCCCTCACAGCTCGCAAAGAGCATCTTGGAGTGGATTTGGATCCTCGATGATCGATTGCATCAGGGAAAGCTAGAGACGAGGGGGGATGACTCAGGAGGATCCTTCAATATTCACGACTCGGTGCGGCGCAGAAAGAACCCAGTTGACACTGGCCGGATACGTGGAAAAATATGTTTTCTACGAATACGGTGCAAAAGCACTCACCATTTCTGTTCTCCGTATCCGCCGGCTTCATCTGGATCGGATGATGCATCTGCAAAAATAAAATCATATCCCACTGCATTTTTCCGATTCTCCGACACCTCACCCCTTCTCTTCGCATACGAAAAAATCCCATGATGAATGCGAGGGGTTTCTCGAAAGGTCGATCCACCGACAGCATTTTGTTCCAGAAATATGAAACTAGATTGTCAATTTAACTTTCTCGTTCGATTGAAAAAATAATAATAACTCCCAATACAACCAAACGGATTTTATTTAAAGACTATCACAAGTCATATTAGAGACCTTTCTTGTTAATCTAAGAGAAGTGTCAGGGGCCAGAACAGAATATTTTATGGGAGATCGAAATTAAATTTAAAATTCCTTCGTCTTCCGCATGCCGTTTCTGAAAAGAAACCGTTTCTTCAATCTCCAATAAGTCGTTGATGGAAATAATATTCAACTGCATTGACGATTTGTATGTAAATTGCAAGACTTTTGAGCATGTTTGCGTACGACATGGGACATCTTCTGAAGTCATGAAAGCTCTTCGTCGCGCGCAGAAGTTTCCACACTCAGCGAGGTAAAAATGTTTTATTCGAGATTTAGAAACAAGCCCGATATTTTCCGGCATCAGTGATGCAAATGATAATGCGAACAATTTAAATATAAGATGAATAACTTACCCCGGCCAGAGTTTTGATGTTGTGCAGATCATTTTGGGCATTCAGAGCGGCTTTCCTCGCGTAGAACGTTACAAAGCAGCATCCTGGAAAAAAAGAGAGCGAGATATACAGCATTACTTTCGTGCCCCTGGGCTTAGAACCGCGAATGAGTCTAGGTCGGAAACGATTTCATCTCTGCAAAGGGTGCTCAGTCGGAGCCGAAAGCAGATTCAATTCTCAACGATTGCACTCGCATTCTCCTCCTATTCCCCCCATGGACTAAATCCGCTTAGCCGAAAAAATACACACACTCCGAAAATAAAATAACCAACACTTCTGAAAGCATCGCCCAGCTTTTTTTTTTCTTTACCCCACTCACAAAAACAACACAAAGCTTTGTATCGTTCATGTATCCAAGTTATACCCTCTTTACGTCCTGTGCATTGGAAAGAACCCGACAAGGAGAGGATTATTCTAGCTGCAAAACGCGTTCACGAGAGAAAAATAAATGAATTCCAATCAATATTTTTCGAAAGTCACAGAACATTTTTCGTATTTGAAAATATCGAAACACTGTGCTTCGTTCTCTTCGATTCTAAATCAACTCGATGAGATGAAAAATGTCAATCCTAGAGATACTTAGTCAAAATATTCAATCGATCGCATTTTTTCAGGTTGGCGGGGTGAGTTACCTAATTGAAAGAAAGTCATCATACGGAACCCCACGGATTTTCGAAAGGCGATCTTCCTCATTGCAGAAAAACCTACATTCCATTTTTTGAACGAACTTTGCAACGCTTTTTTGGCAGTCTCAAAGCATCGGGCCGTCCATCAATGCAATCATATGAAGAGCTTCGAATTCAAAATATCTGATCCAAATACCAGTTCATCTGATCCAAACACAAGATAACAGGAGAATTCATTCATAGATGGCCGCAATGGCACGAAAGCGATCCGGAATTCCGAAGAAAGGTGCTCCACGGGTATCATCGAGCTAAAATATCCGAACTGTATACGTTTTTTTGCCAAGGTTGCATTTAATTAAATACAGTATAACCTAAAACTGCACATAAAATAACCCGCAGTTCGGAACAAGAGAACCCTTCATCAACGCCCTCAAAAGGGGCACTCTTCCGTACGGAATCTATTCAGACTAAAGCACGCTGTTTTCTTTCCAACATCACAACCACGAAAATGATAATAATATTAATAAGAAAGAAAGCAAGGGCTGCTTAGATTGAAAGCAAACCCTGGAAGATGAATTGCACGAAGGCCTCGCTGAGTGCAAACAGCGGGTTGCCGACTTTCATGGCAAAAACACACACTCGCCTTTCATGCTCGTATTTCGTGACCACGCTGAACAGGAGGTCCATCGCGTGCGAATCCTAGTTTTTCGTTGTATTTTACCGATCAACGCAGCCGCAGAATAGAAAAAAATTAAGTAAACTGCTTAAACTTTTGAGATTGTGCATATGGATCCGTCAATGACCGCATCGAAAAATATTTGCTAATTATGTGATTATCCCGAGTAAAGTCACCTAAAGCAAATAGATGATCACACGCGTTCAAAAACCAACCAAAAGCGAAATCGCAAACAAACCCACTTTGGCACAACCACACAAAGTCATCAGCCATATAAACGATTTCATCGATAAAAATCACACCCTACACAAACACCTAACGCCACGTCTTTAAACTCAAGCATCGTCAGTTACGTTCCAGGGAAACTTGCTCAAATGCTGAACACATCGCAAGGTTTAAAAAAAAAAACCGAAATTTATAGCCGAGTTTCTAACCGTATCTCACAAATTAAAGAGGCCGCCGAATGAAGCTTAACATCACGAAACTGTTCACATGAATCCGACAGTTTTGTCGTAGACAACGAGATTATTTCGAATACTTTTATGTTGGAAAAATCATTGAGAGATTAGCACATTGAAAACCCCACACGCTCTAATTGAGTAGGGGCAACATTTAGGAGAGAAAAAACGCAGGATACCAAGACGAACTTGAAAAAAACGCAAATATCGTTTCAGCAACGGAAAAAATTAGATGACGTGCAGGAACCTCGTCGAAATTATGGGCAAAGTTTTCGCAACATTTTCTCAATCAACGAGACCATAGAATGAAAGGCAACCTGATCTGCGTGAGCATTCGACATTGATTGTACTGTGTGAAACCGACAATGTTTATTTCGAAATTATCACTGAATACGCGATTTTTTCTGAATACCGGCGCCTCAAGAAAATCGATGAACTCAGACGAATTCAAGAACCTTGGTTTCGATCGAAAGAAGAACAAAGCCGCACAAAGATGCAAAAATAAGAGGACGGAAAACTACACTTCCCTTATTGCCATTCATGTCACAACACAGATAAAAAAAAAAAAAAAACATGCGGCACGGCTTTGAATTGACGCATTATCTCTTCAGTATTCGGGGAAACTTGCGTATGCCTCAAGCACATCAAAGGCAAAAATGAAAAGAAAAACCACCACGATCCAGAGCCGTCGAGCTGTCAGCATAATATCGTTCCAATTTTTCTCCAGCTGCTCCTTAGCAAGTGATTCAACCGTAGAAGAGCTGGTGTAGCTCGGGCCTAAGCTTATGGCAGTAGTGAGCAGTACTGAACCGGGAATCCCGTGTTCGGGAGAGAGATGAAAAAGAAAAAGGAAGTAGAGGGTATCGCGACAGCGGCCATCGTATCGAACCCGGAGAAATCCGTACAGGCAACCTCCATACCCCATCCGACAACCCTCGTTCGCACGTCAATATTTCCCAGCTCTCCTCTTTATTCCCGCACGCAGTGATCCGCGATATGATGGGAATATAGTGACGGATGAGGCACAGGGAGGATTCCCGAGGAATGGGAAGAAAATTTTTTCGAGCATTGCTCGATTACACGGCCTACCCACTGTTGAGCCCGTCTTACAAAGTTACCAAAATTCATTTCCTACGACAACAGTGGTTGTGCTGAGCAGAAGTGCAGCATTCTTCCTTCTTTGATCACTCATTTATTGCTCCGGAATCAAGTAAACATAAAATTTTGATGACTACACATATTGTTTGCCATTCCATACGAGTTCCCAAAGCTTCGCTTCTTGAAAGAAAGCAAACAAAAAGCAGACAAAAATGTAGTTTGATTCATGGCTCAAGGGACGGACCGAACATTTTTGACACTGTACAGGCGAATTATATATGTGCTGTATTTTTAATCTTAAAATCAAAATCACGTTTCCATGGTTGCCCCGCAAACCGATTGGTCAGCTGTGAGTGAATTTAACTTGAACGCAAAATGCATGCTTGAACGAATAAATAAGGTTGATAACAAGCGCGTGGACAACTTCTCCAGGGGAGTGCAGATATTTAAAGAATCTTTTTCATCAAGCGAAAAGCAACAGCCATCCAAATTTAATACACCGTAAAGTAATCCATTTCCAAATTCGGAGGTGCCCGTTAAAAACCAATATAAAATCGGATCGTTTTATAGGGATATTTATTCGCCAGCAATCGATAGCAATCGGGTCTCAGAAAATATGGTTGGAGTGGTGAAGACATTAATTTTCAATCTCAGCACCATCATGGTTCCTGTAACATTAAAAATGCAGCCAAACACTCAACCGTACGGAGAACACGAGGTTTAATGAACCAAGCCGCTTTGGCATTCCAGAAAAAAAAAGTTTAGATATTCGCGTAGCCAAAGGGGAAAAAAGGCATTCCAACTCGAGACTATTGAACTATTTTTACTGGATCAATCATAATGGGCCACGAACAGGGCTAGCACGGCGTCCAACTAGAATGTCGATGGGCTGTTCTCATGCACCAGCTTCCGGGCTAACGTCGTTACCGGAGTCTCCAGAGATTCCTTTGGGGGGTGTGCAACGCGCGAAGACGGAAGGGATTGTGCACAGGCCCGAGTGCCCTGAAACTTAATTAAGAGTTGCGCCGTGAATGAGAAAACTTCGGTTTCAGCAACTTGGGGTATTTCACCTTCTCTCCGATACACGCGAAAGATTCCGCTCCTTTGCGTGAGCACCGCAATAAACGTGTCGACGTAACGAGGGCAACACGAACATGATTTCACATGTAACGCTCATCCCACCTTTTTTATAAATTATAAGAAAAGCCCGTCATTTCGTAATTATTTCAGATGATTCTCCGAGAGGTTCTGATGATATTCTAAACGGAATTCCAGCATTACTTTACGACGAATATTGTAAAAGAGATCTTCGTTCAAAACTGCGTCGGCTTTTGATTTTTCAAAGAAACCCCTCTTTTGGTGAATGTTTTTATGGAATTTCCGGGGAACTTTGACACGGTACCAAGCAAATTCGACAAGAACACTCAATCGCAAAAACGGTAAAATTCAGACTTCATATTCCGAATTTACTACGCCGACTTTCTACAAACATGAGTGAGAACGAGTCCCAGAGCAGAACCGAGCCTCCAACTTCAATATCGTGCAAGAGTGAGTACAAAGTCAAGGTATAGCCCAGGTATTTTTAGCATGAAGTTCTACCGCTTCCACATCGGCGTCTCCATAGCGTTTCATTGGTTGAAGGACTTCTTCGGAAACCAATTTTCTTAATCCCTTGAATAAGCTCACCGGAAAGTCGATAGCTTACCAAGGGAAGAAGAACACATACTGTATATGAAATTGATGCTTAAAAGTAAACCTTGACAACGGTTCAAGAGAAATCAGACGAGATGAGCAAAAACATCCTCCGGCTTCAGCAAACAATCTTCTCTCGAAAAAATAGATTAATCACGAAAGAATACAATTTTTTCACTATTCTTCTCGCATTTTTAAAACTCTGAACCAAATTGAAAAAAAAAAAGATTCCCTGTAGAAAAACGTGAAATCTAACATGAAAGAACGAAAAAATACATTCGCGTGACACGGGAGCTGGCTGTTGACATCTTCGATATTACTGCGTTTTATCGACATTTTTCAAATTAGAAATCAATTGGAAGTCTAGATGAGCTTGGTAATCGATCTGATTTGTTTTACTTCCTTACCTTGCTCGACGTTCTTGGAAAGTGTACAAAGATAATAAAAAAAAATTATAGATATATATATATACTGTACTTCGGAAATGAGAGATGCGGCTGTGGAAAGCCAAGTACACCGAGAAAATATTCTCAAGAAATATAGTATAACTCACCAAGCTCAACATACAAAAATTTTGCTACTAGAAATAATAAACCAACAATCGATATACAGTGATTCATATAATGTACAAGGGATTTACTGATCTGAATATTCCACGATCAACCCAATATATTATGAACACATAATGATCATTTATGTGCATATAATTCAAATAATTTCACCGGAAGCAAACGCAACCCTGCAATTTTTGACAATGCGACGATGATTCGTCAATCCGTTCTTCTCGACTCCAAAAAAAAAAGCCCAACACAATGGAAACGGAGCAATTCTTCGTTCGCTGCTCGCGCCAGACACGACTGCCAACAAGCAACATATCTCGTCAGAGAGAACGAGGCAAGTACGGCCAGACAGCCGCAACAGGGAGACAACAACAAAACCCCAGGGCGGTAAGGAATTGAAGTCACGACATTGCCGGAACGTCGACAATCCAACGACGAAGCTGCGGGGGGACAAGAAAATACCTCTTTTGACGCCCACGTATCGTTATTTATCCAACTTCCGCTCCGACGAGCTGTCATCCGCAGCGTCAAAGACGACATCTTGCACCGAGAGGTCGGAATCACTAAGCCGCAAGAGCGGATGTTGGGAGCTCATGGGTACATTGATCATGGGTTCATAGAGGGTCTCGGCAAAGATATAACGAGGTTTTCCAAGCACTGGAAATTGTCCAGTAGATAGACCTCAGCCCCTAGCAGTTGAAAAAAAATTCGGAGCGACCTATTCATGATATCTTCGATTAGGAGCTTCATTGCAATCACATACACACGACTTTGAAATCTTCAAAAATGAACAAGAACCGAACCAAGTAAATAACAAAAATAAACTCAAATCTACCTTCCATCTTAGTGTCTCTCCATTGGCAATTGTCCCGTTGCCCTCTTCAGGTTTTGAAGTCAATTATTAGTGAAATATTCCTTTTTAAGTTCTCGCAAAAAATCAACATGTTTTTCGAGTTCGTAGATACCCTTTCACACAGCAACTTCCGACATTTTCAAGGTCTGTACAGATTTTATCCTCAAATCACGTGCCAAAATTAGAATGTAGTAAAAAATCCCATTTTGAGATGTAAGTTGCAAACGCTCCTTCGTCCAATGCTGTAGAACAGTGGTGCCCAACTCTGAAGTGGCCAAGGGCCACATTGAAGTAGAAGAGCATTATGCGGGCCACAATGGAAAAAAGGAAGACATGTTGTCCAGTATATT